GGTTCATAAGACCCTCAGTCCTGATGGACTTCATTGAAGGGTCCTGGCCTATTAGATTGAAAAATCAGTGAACACAACTCCTTTATTTGAAAAGGGAAGGAGACAGAAGCAGTTAGCCAGAAAGCTTAATATCTGTCATACAGAAGATATTGGAATCTATTATTAAAAGAAAAGAAGTTGCAACAGGGCATTTCAAAACGTTTAAGGTAATTAGGCAGATCAACATGGTTTTGTAAAAGGGAAATCATGGTTAACTAATTTGTTAGAATTCTTTGAGGAAGCAACAAGTGCTGCAGATAAAAGGAACTAATGCATATATTGTACCTAGATTTCCAGAAGCTACATGATAAAATGTCACATCAAAATATTACAGAACATAAAAGTCCATAGTGTATGTGGTAACATATTGGCACAGATAGGAGATTGGCTGGCTGGCTGATTGAAAACAGTGTAAACAGTAGGGCATACCAGTTGCCAGGATGTCACGAGTCAAAGGCCGGGGCCTTAACTTTTTAAAATTTATATAGTGACTTGGATGAAGGGGACAGAAGGCATAGTTGCTAAAATTGTTAATGATATAAAGATAGCTAGGAAAGTAAGTTTGAAGAGGACTTAGGGAGGTGACAAAGGGATATCAGTAAAGTGAGTGGGCAAAGATCTGTCAAAGAGTAAAATGTGGAAAACGTGAAACTGTCCATTTTGGCAAGAATAAACAAGATGCATATTATCAAAGTGGTAAGAAACTGCAGAGCGCTGAAACAGAGGAATGTGGGGGTTCTCTAGTGCATGAATTAGGAGGGCAAGTCCGAGCAACGACATCAGCAACAACATGATAAATACCAGAGGAGCGAGGTCAGAGACAGCAATCCTGGAGGTGAACAGCAGCAGTATAAATACTTGAGGAGCGGGGTCAGTCAATGCAAATGTGGAGCTGAATCTAGGGACAGAACTCTGGAGGTGACTTTATGACACAAGAGACGTGACATAGGCTTGGCTGCTCAGGGACCAGATTTGCAGACTGAATGTCTTGGGGCGAGGGCGAGCTAGGAAGAGTATGGAGTGAAAGATTGGAGTTTGGTGACTAGTGGGCAAGGTGGTGTAATCAGTTCCTGGATTATTTTCTGTAGTTGGTAAGATTGATTTACTTGATAACATTCAAAATACCAGGAGAACTCAGCCCCATGGAACGCTGCTCCCGCAACATGTGGGATATCAGGGACATTTCCAGTCTCTGTGGTGACAACATGCAGGAAGTGTTCAGATGCAGCTCCCACATTTGTGGATGGACTCACTATGGAGCATTCATGAGGCGGAGAATGTCGTGGTTAGCACTTTAATGAGCTGGTCACACCACCAGTAAGGGCTACACAGTCAGAGAAGAAGTGGGTCACCACCAGGAAGATGAGAAAGCATGGGCAGGCAGCGCAGGAGCCCCCTGTGACCATCTCCCTCTCAATATACAATTGGTTGGGGGAACTGGCCTCAGTGCTAAGCAGCAGCAGCTGCAACCAGATCAATGGCACCCATGACTGGCACTATTGTACAGCAGGGTGGGTTGAAGTGTAAGTGAGCAATAATGATAGGGGACTATATAGTTAGGGGCACAGATAGGGCATTTGTGTCTGCAAGCAAGGCTCCAGAATGGCATGTTGCCTCACCAATGCCATGGTCAAGGATGTCTGAGTGGGCACAGGATGTTCTGAAAGAGGAGGGTCAGTCAGAGGTTGTGATCCATATTGGTACCAACGACACAGGCAGAAAGGGAGAGGAGGTCCTGCAAAGGAAGTTCAGGGAGTTAGGTAGGAAATTAAAAGCAAGACTTTTCAGATTGTAATCTCGGGATTACTCCCTGCACCACGTGCCAGTGAAGCTAGGAATAGAAGATAGTTTAGCTAAATATGTGGCTAAAGAGCTGGCGTAGGAGGGAGAGTTTCAGCTATGTGGATTATTGGAATGTCATCAGGGGCAGGTGGGACCTGTATGAGAAAGTCTGGTTGCACCCAAACTGGAGGGGCACTAATATCCTGGCAGGGAAGTTTCCTAGTGCCACTTGGGAGGGTGTAAACTAGTGTGGCAGGAGCAGGAACCACAGCAGCAGATCAACAAGTAAAATGACAGAAGAGAAATCGGAGATTAAGGCCAGTAAGACTAATTGGAAGAACAGACAAGGGAAGTTACTGAACAGCAGGACTGGCAGTCTGAGGTGTATTTGTTTTGGGAGGAGTATGACGAGTAAGGCAGATGAACTTACAGCTTGGATTAATAAACATTGCTATGATGATGTAACTATTAGAGAAACTTAGTTGAGTGAGGGAAAGACTGGCAGCTTAACGTTCTGTGATTTAAAATGTTTCAGGTGAGATAATGAGGGATGTAGAAGAAATGGACGAGTTGCATTCCTGGTAAGGAAGAGTAACACAGCTCTGCTATGAAAGGACATCTTGGATGGCTCACCCAGTGAGGGCACATGGGTAGAGCTCAGGAATAGGAAGGCAATCACTTTGGGATTGACTACAAACCTCCCAACTGCCAGCAGGTGAGAGAAGAATGGATAGGTTGACAGATTACAGAAAAATGTAATAACAGGGTTGCTGTGGGCGATTTAACTTACCCCTATTGGGACTCCCTTAGAGCCAGGGGCTGAGATGTGGGTAGGGAGTGGTGGAATTTATTAGGTCTGTCCAGGACAGTTTTTTGAAACAACATGTAATTAGTCCAACAGGGGTGGGGGTTGCATTCTAGGCCTGATATTGGGGAATGGGCCCTGCTAGATGATTGAAGTTTCAGTGCAGGAGCATTTTCGGAACAGTGACCATAATTCCGTGTACATGTTAAGTTACTTATGGATTAGGATAAGAGAGTAGTCCTCAGGTGAAAGTACTAAACTGGAAGAAAGCTAACTATCATAATATTAGACAGAACCTGGGAAATGGAGATTGGGGGCAGATAATTGAGGGTAAATCCACATCTAGTATGTGGGAATCTTTTAAAAGCCAGTTGATTAGAGTTCAGGACTAGCATGTTCCTGTGAAAACGAAGGATAAGAATGGCAAGATGTGGGAACCTTGGACGACAAGAGAAATGGAGAGCTCAGTCAAGCAGAAAAAAAAGAGAAGGCCTACATAAGTTAGAGGAAACTGTAGACAGAGTCCTTGAAGAATATACCGATAGCAGGAAAAATGAAACAAGGACTTAGGAGTGTTAAAAAGGGGCCATGAAATGTCTTTGGCAAACAGTATTAAGGAAAATCCCAAGACGTTTTATACACATTATAAGGAGCAAGAGGGTGGCTTGATGAAGTATAGGTCCGTTCAAAGACAAAGGATGGAATTTATGACAAAAGGAGAAGGACATGGTGGATGGTCTCAGGACAGGTACATTGATATTCTAGGGCATGTCAATATAAAAAAAAAAAAAAAAAAAAAAAAAAAAAAGTGTTGGGTGTTTCGAAAAGCGTTAAGGTAGACAAGTTCCCAGGACCTGATGGGATCTATTCCTGAAAACGGAGGAGGCAAGTGAGGAAATTGCTGGGGCAGTGCACAAAATCTATGTATCCTCTTTAGTAACAGGAGAGGTCCCAGAGGACAAGAGAATAGCCAATGTATTTCCTTTTAAGCTAGTGAGCCTTACATCAGTGGTAGGGCAAATTACTGGAGAAGATTCTTAGGGATAGGATTTATTCATATTTGGAAAGAGATCGACTTTAGCAATAGGTAGCATGGCTTTGTGCAGGGGAAGTCTCACAAACATGATTAAGTCTTTTGAGGAAGTGATAAAGATAACTGACAAGGGCAGGGCAGGGCAGTGAATGCTGTCTACGTGGATTTTATTTTGACAAGGTCCCTCATGATAGGCTCATACAAAAAGGGGGTGCCACATCGGATCCATGGTGAGCTGATAAGATGGATACAGCACCACTTTAGTAATGCAGCAGCCGTGGAAGAATGTTTTTCCTGACTGGAATTACATAACTGGTGGTGCTCTGTAGGGATTAGTGCTGGGGCCTGTGCTGTTTGTAATATTTTCAAATGATTTGTGCATGTTGTGTTACGAGGAAGGATGGACAGGCTCGGCTTGTATCCACTGGATTTCAAAAGAGCAAGAGGCAAATTGATTGAAATATACAAAGATCCCGAGGGGTCCTGACAGTGTGGATGTGGAAAGGATGTTTCCACTTGTGGGAGAATTTAGAACTAGGGGTTACTACTTATCTCATCTAGGTGACCTTTAATTTTAAAGGGATGGAAGGAGAGAGGTTTTCCCCGAGCTGGTCAAGAGTCTTTACAACTAAAAAGGCAGCAGGAGCAGAGACTCCAAACATTTTCAGAGCAGAAGTAGAAAGATTCTTGATAACCTTTCACCCCCTGGCTTATCGGTGTAGGTGGGTATGTGGCATAATAGATCAATGACAGAATAGGCTCAAGGGGCAAGTGGCATGTGGCATCCTTCTAATACGATTATTCATATGACCTATTATCAGACTAAGTACTTTAAAATACATAATGCTCTTGGCATGAATTTTCACTAAATATGTCAGGATGCTCAGCATCCCAGAGGTGAAAACAACCAGTAATCAGACCGACATGGATAACGTTAAGTAAAACAAATGTACAGAAGCAAATTTTACAGGCTATTAAAACAGCACAAAGATTTCTGAGGAAGGGTCACCAGACCCGAAACGTTAACTGTTTTTTCCTTCAAGATGCTGCCAGACCGGCTGGGCTTTTCCAGCAACTTTGTTTTTGTTCCTGATTTACAGAATCCACAGTTCTTCTGGTTTTTACAAAGATTTCTTTTTTCTTCAAAACATAGGCACCTGTTTTAAAAGTGTTCAAATATTTTAAGTTCTTTACAGTTAAGTTTTGAGAAGCAAATTTGATCATTGAAGACCATTCCTGAAGTTCAAAAGAAACATTTCTAATCCATTTGAAGTTATTTGACAGCCAGTTGGAACTTGTAATTTTCTACGACACTCCTTAACTTAATCAAAATTTACATACCATTTGCCATGGTTCTCCGAACCCACCATGGACCTTCGCCAAACTTGTTCTTCCAGTCCACTCCCATGGAATTGTGTGTACACACAAAAACACACCACTCTAAGCTACTTACAAAATGTCCCCACTGAAAAAAAAAACATTTTCAATGAAATAATATGTTTCTTTGCAAGCTTCTTTCATTTCTACCATAGAATCACAGAAGGAGGCCATTGTATCTATACTAGTGCTTTTCCTGAACTCATTGAAAATGAATCACATCGCTGTGCTGTCTCATAGCCCTGTATCTTCAATTGTTGCAACTGCTTTCCTACATTCTCCTTCAAGGAAGCAAAACGTCTCTGCCTCAATTATGTCCTGTGAAAGTTAGGAAAGGAAACAGCATGCATGAGAAAACACTAGCAGGTAGAACAAGGAAAGCTCCAAAGGGATTTTGAAAATATGTAAATTGCAACAG